CTCCTAAAAATAAGTGTTCCGCATTGAGCCATTCCCACTTGATTTTTCTCATCCTACCTTGAAAACCTGAACCTTGAATTCTTGAAGACTAGAACCATTGATCATTATCGAGAGTTTTCTCAAGTGACTCCCGTCATTTGGGATGTAATTAACTATAGGGGCTTGCCTCTATAGGGAACTTGGAACCCAGGTAAAATAAACCCTATTTAATCTTTGTATTAAATAGGGGAATTTGTCGGTCATATATAAAAGGTTCGCAGACCAAACGGATGTCACAAATCTCTTAGTTTGCAGGATTGGGTCTATCGCTGAGGTCTACACTTATCTCTCGGGAAGGTGTAGTATTCGCGGTATCAGACACGATTATGCAAACTATCAGACCAATGAGATCCATTTGGTCTCATTTTTCAAAAATTAAAACATACTACTTTTAAAACCCAAACTATATATATCTTTTATACTTAAATTAAATCTCAAAAATTATGTTCATATTTTCATATTTTCAAAATCTAAATCAATCCATCGAAAAAAAGTTTGACCGACATGGGTCGAGCGGTCATAAGATGCGCTATACCATAGATGTGTTATGGTAGCGATTTCAAGTAATCAGAAAAAGTATATGATGTGCTGTTTGATTAAGAAATGGACATTGGATAGTTTTTAGTGTTATATATGTAAATTGATAAATATTGGCTTATCTTGTACTTTGATTTTTGAGTGAGATTGTGAGAAATGATTGAAGAAAGATGCTAGTTTTGTAAATATCAATGTTCCAGAGTATATGTAATCACCCTATATTTAAAATATCCCTATACAGGGATAAATACAGAGCACTTAAATGAAAAAGGGTGCTTCCTTTGTAAATATAAGTGTTTGTAGTATTATATGTGTTACATATAGTATTAAGTCCGCTGTGTGAATTCCACTGCTATGCATAAATAGAGTCCAACGAGATTAAAACCCTAACTCATCAGTTTATTTCCAGGCGTATGGTGATGATTTGGTTGGAGGTAGCCCTTTGCCCACTTGCTGTATCTCCTCTTTTTTTTTTCCTTTTTTTTTTTCACTAAAAATGCATGTACAGGTACCTTTTATGCATTTTTTTACTAAATATACAGTGCAGCTACTTTAATTGTAGATGATCGTCTTCTATGTCTGCCATGATGAAAAAGATGAATCATAAAAATGATTCAATTCTTATTTAGCAAATTGTAGAGTAATGCTAAACTGCCTTTTGCAATTTATAATGATTTATTCTCCCAGTATTTTTATCATTATGATTTCCATGCACTTTTCTATGGATTGTGGCTTGGTAAAGAAATCCTTCATGGAAGGTTCTGTTTGGCCGTCCTAATGTTGAGCGCATTACTTTTCATGGTGCTTCCGAGATCTCGGCTCTTTTCATTGATTGTCCATGAAACAACTTGGATGGTCCTTTAATTCCTTGGCAATTATTGCATCCCATGGTTCTGGTGGTATAGAAATGGTAGGTGGTTCTGCTTGCACATTGTACAAAAGTTGAATCTGATTCTCCAATTTCTCAGTTGCTTAGGGCCTGTTTGGGATCATTTTTGTTTTTGCTTTTACTTTTATTTTAAAAACTTATTTGTTTAGTGCATTTTTTTCATGTTTTTATTTGTTTTTTTTTTTTTTTAGGGTTGATTTTTTGTTGGTTGCCAGTAAATTTATGGTGGTAGTGTGGTATATTGGCACTCTAGTGTTGTACGAAGATTTGACACACGTAGATTAAAGAATAGTTGATAGAAGGAACAACAAAAAATTTTACATGAAAAATTGTAAGTATAAAAAACACGGGGCCTAGCATTGTTGTGAAATAATTTCATTGATGTAGTTTACAAGATTTTAATGGCCTTTGAATAGCCGGAAGCAATATTACTTAAGTGGTGGTCCGGCAATATTGTTCTCATACCATGACAATGGTGCAGCTTGGATGGACTATGCTTATGTAGGTATCACCGTGTTCATGTGTCGATGGCAGAGAACATGTGGATATATTAGTTATTTGATGAAACTAATGGCGAATCTGAGCCTATTAATTCCCTTTTTCTTTCTGCTTTAACATAATTTCGAAGATGTATTGGCTTGCTCTTATCTATTCTTTATGACCAATACTATTTTATGGTGCTTTGGTTATATTAATGCTTCTTCGCTATTATGTTGTAATGAAATGGAGCAGCTAGGAAGGAAATGGGTGGATGTTCTTTGGGATGGAAACAAGGCGAATCTTTGCATTTCAATCATTTTTTTTTGTTTGCTTAGGTTGGTTGGGTTGAGTAGTTATTATAGCAATTGCTTTACCATGATGTTTTTGGATGATGGTCCGTATTTTCTCTTCTATTTTTTGTAATGTCTTTTTCTGATTCAAGACAAGTGAGAATATGGGCTGTTTGGTGGAAGGCTTTAGCTCTAATCCTCCCAAACTACAAAAATGAGATTTAATTCCTATAGGCTACAGAATCTTGCATCCCGTTTTTCCTCTATTTTGCCTTAAATCCATGATTTAGTAATGCCTGCTGAAAGAACGACTTGCGGGATTTAGAGAAGCTGATGCTTGTGAAGGCGGTTGGGAGGAAAGGGAAGAAAGGCAAGGGTTACCTTCCTCAATTGTTTTAGGTAAGAGTGGCCTAGGGGAGCTGAAGGATGGGAAAGATGGTAGTTTCGTAGGTCTTGCATGCTACAATGCCATTGTCGCTTTCCGAGCTAGCTCTACTCGTGATAATTTGGAGGGTTTAGGTGTTAAATTTCCAACATTTATACATACCACCCAAATATTTCATATCACATAAAAAAATTCCACCATTTAAATTTAAAAAGAAATGAAATACATGTTTTCATGCTTAGGTGAGGTGTCTATAAAAATGTAGTTTAGGCGTTAAGATATGCAAATAAATAAGAATTGAGTGATATGTATGTAAATCTTGCACTCAAAGTTTGATGTTTACACTAACTTCTTTGTGTCATAAATTTATGTATGAAAATGTGTGTGTCACTTTTAAATGGAAGTGATTGTGGCATTTTTTATTTGATGTTAACTATTTAAGTGTTATGCTTGTAAATTTGAATGTTTAGATGTTAGAAATGTAAATAGACAAGAATTGTGGTAGATATTTAAATATCATATATATAAATATATATATATATATATATATAAGCCATGATGGTGAAAGCTGGCATTTTCCTAATTTTCTGAATGGTAATTCTATTTTTTTCCCCTAATTTTGTGAAGTGCTTTTTTTTTTCAGATTCAATAAAATGATGAATTGAAATTAAAAAGGATTTGCATGCATGCCACTTAATTATATATTTACATGCCAACACCTAAAATCTAATATTTATGTTGGCCCAAAATTTTACAAATGCTTCATTTTTTCAATTTTGGCTTTTATGTGGCCTCTCTCTCTCTCGTGTATATATATATTTAAAGAGAAAGAGAGGAGAGAAGAGGGAGGGTCGGATAAATGCTCGTGAACAAGCTCTTATGGGTTCTTTTTTGGCAACTTCTTTATTCCGCTTACTCTAAACTTGCCACCAAAGTTCCCTGTAATTCTTTTTTTTGCTGCTTTTTAAGAAATGCCAGTGGTGATATCCACGTATTTCATATATAAAATCTGAAGTTTGATATTTCAACAATTTTTTATTATATTTCTTAAACAGAACGAACAGTGCTATGGCGATGGAAATGCTTGGAAGGCTTGTGCTTTTGTGTTTGTTGTATTTGTTTTTGAATGAGCTGTCAAAATAGTCCCCTAACTATTTCCACGAGTCATTCTAGAATATATAAAAGTGTCAAATTAATCTCGAACTCTTTTTATTGGAACTTAAATAGTTTGGTGTGGTTGATGAATAAATTCAACGTGGAAGGCGTTCTTGTTCCTATACAAGATGCTTCAGAGTTCTACTTTTCTCGAGCAATTGCAATGCAGCAACTTGGATGGCCTATGCTGCTGCATTCATGTCATTGGTTGCGAAAATGTGATAACTCGTGTTTTTTTATGGCATCAAGGCAAATATGAGCTTCATGTTTCCCATTTTCTTTCCACTTTTGTCTTAGTGTCTTATTTTTTACCCCTTTTTTACTGTATTCATCCTTGTACTGCAAGGTAATGGACACCTAAACTAAAATGCTATGCATAAATACATCAGTGATGCTGGACTCCAGAAAAAAACTATGGACTCAAAAGAAAACTTAGAGGAACTTCTGTTGGACTGTAATTATTTCTATTTTCTTCTTTTAAAGAAATTATGCACACACGAACACGCACACACATATCAAAAAGGCGTCGGTGTAGATCTAACAGCAATCCAATGATGCAGATGAGGAAACATGATGGAAGGAAGGTCCCGCTTGAAGGAGATTGCGGGACCTATAGAGCTAGCTGAGCCATGTTAACCGAGTTAAAAACTCAGGTGAGGATGGTATACCAGTATCAACCATGACTCACATGGAAGCTCATCAGGAATGTCTAAATTTTTAACCAAAATAATGCTGATTCAATACGGAAGCTTTTCTTGCAGAAGAGCTCACCCAAGGGAAGGGAAGGTAGGTTTCCCAAAACATATTCGACAATCCAGCGGAGATGAAAGCACAGCTGATAGGAGGGCCGGCGGTAATGAGACAGCAGGTTGTTAGTCTGTGCTTGTGCTCCTTAAGCTTCATTATGGAAAGCAAAAATTGAGAGAGATTTTATTGCAGTTGATTGACTCTTATGTAAGTCTTCTTTCATATTGTACAGATCGAGAAAATATTACATCAGGACCCCAAATACAGTTTGCGTTCGGAGTCCAATGGCGGGGCGCCACATATCAAGTGGGTCCCACCGTAATACATTGGTTTTGGTCAGTGTTAAAAACGGTGGTGACCACTTGACACGTGTCGCCTCACCATTGGAATTCGAATGCATCATGAGTCCTGATGTAATATTTTTCCAGATCAAGTCTCATTATCTCTACCGTTTATTTTTATCTTATTTTTATTATTATTATGTTATTGATTCGAGCCTTCCTATGTGCTTACTGGAAGTCTACTGATTTCAAAAATATTGTGATATAATAATGAAGCGTTTACGTACATATCAAATAAGCACAATGTATTTATATATTTATTAACGCCCAAATAGTTATGTATTGGTTTAGTACATTAACGTGTTATGAATGTAAATATTAAGTTTGAGGTGTGTTTTGTAAAGTGTTTTGTGTAATATGCAAAATTTCATCTCCCGTCGTCTGGAAAGCTTTTTGTCCTGTGTATCTTATCGGCTAATTGTTATATATTGATTTTGATGAAAATCGTGCCTTGAGTTATTGTTGGCTGAGTTGAACTTCGATGATATGAATTTGGCCACATAAATAATTTGAATCAGATTTTTGTACATTAAAACCGAACACCAATTAGACAAACTATTACATTTAAATAAAATTGGATGACATTCTCACTTTTGCATAATAATGACTGCAAAGCTTCTCTGTTTAATCCAAGGCAAGTGATAGACTTTTCTCTAATGCATAAAACTATAAAAGCAGAATCTACTAGGATTTAAGCGAAGGCATGATGTCTATTTCAACTTAATAATAATTTTTAATATTAAAAAAAATTACTAATATATTGATACAACCTTCCCGACCGTACCCAAATCCCGCCAAAAACCCGTGGCCACGGGTGACCCGCCTAGTGGGCTAGTAATTTGGGCAACTCGGGCTGCTGGCCTAGTGACCCGTAAAAAGTCTGGCTGATTAAATGCGTTTTTTGAGGTTTTGCACTATTCATACAAGCTGGCCTAGTAAACCCTAGTGGGCCAGTAATTTGGGCAACTCAGCCTAGCAACCCGTAAAAAAACTTTCAAATTTTTGCCTAGCATGAGGCTCGGATCTGTGCCTCTAGAGCATAGTTTTGACAGTTTTCTAACATTCTAAAAGAATGGATATCATTGTGGTGCCTTCTTATTAGAAGCTCAAAGAGTGGATGACTGGTATAGATGGGATCAAAGAGTCCATTCCCCAAGTCTGGCTGATCAAGTGTTTTGTTTGAGGTTTTGCACTCCAATTCATACGAGCTAATGAGTGAATGGGTTGGATGATTTGCACACTGTGACCTGTATGCCACATGGGATTCTAATTCTATATATGCAAAAGGGTCCCATGATTAGTGGACGGGTCACGGGCTCGACTTGAAGAACTTCGAGAACATGGGGTTTTGTGACTCGTGTATTCATCCCCTTGGCATATTTTTTTAAAAGAAAGGTGTTTAGCATCCTTTTCTTTTGGAAAAAATCAAAACTTTTGCCTTTAGAATCTCTCAATATCTTGTGACTTTTTTTTTCCTTGGAAAAAGATAGAAATGAATGAGAATGACTGCTCCATGGGCTTAGTTGAGTGGTTGTTTTTTTTCTATGGTGAACCTGATGAGATGGTCAAAGTTGATGTGATGCTCCCAACTAGCGGGAGTATCCCTCCGATCGTCGGTTAAAGTGAGTGCGTGCCCACGGTTGCCCAACATTAGTGGGAGAGCTCTTCAAATAACCCCAGCATCTGCTAGGAGTTCTCGTTCGAGTTTGAACTAGGGGATGATTCTCCTTAGTTTCTCTTGAATCAAACAAATTTGTTTTTTAAGTCTTTTTTTTTTCACTCAAAACAGTGCATACTGGCTACGTGTATCTCTAGGATAACCTCATAGTTGTCAAACTTCACTCAAATGGATAGGATAGATGATAAAGAGACCTTATTTACCTGAGCATCTTTTTCTTCTATCGTGAGTCCAAGATCAATTTGGAAGGCAGAGCTAAAAAATAGATCACCGAAGTAGTCTTCATTAATATAATAATGTTGGATCTCCAGTCTAGGACGCCCTCGCTAAAGATCTAAAGAATTCATGATGTAAGCAACAAGCATAGGCTAAAAAGGCAAGACTCTCATGTTGGAAAGCAACCAGGGACCCGAGGGATCACTACTAAAGTATTATCTTCTTTCCACTAAAAAGGGTTGGTTGGCTGCATTTTGGAACGCTGGTATTTTGATCCTCTTCTAAGAATCTACATTTTTTTTACTTTGCAAAACTCCATTAATATACCTAAAATTGAATTTTTCTTCTATTCTATGATTAAAATGATAGCTTCAAGTAGGCTCCACTTTAGAGATGGATTGAAGAAAAATAGGAGCAGGGTTGTGTCAGAATGATAGTTGCTTAGTCTCATACAAGAGACAAATATTTTTGTACTTTTTCTTTAAAAGAAAAGAAAAAAAACTGGGGTCGATTTAGGCTCCTTCCACTGCATAACAACGCTATCAGATACAATAAGCCTTCTGTCCCACGCATCTAACCAGCTTGCGTGGTTCACCGATTTCACCGAAAACTCTCATTTTGCGGAAGCAGAGCATAGTGCATCGCAGAGCGATTAAAGTCTTTGATTTTGGTTTCTTCATTGATCTGAAATGAAAGAAATGGAGCACTTGTTTTCTTATCTAATGCATGGGGCGAGGTGTTTGCAAAATCAATCGATCCAAACTGAAGACTTAAAGCAAAACCCTCTACGAACTGTGCTAGGCTCAGTTCATTGATTATATAAGGATTTATATTATTCTTACTTAAATAGTGATAGTAATAAAGTGTGTGTGTGTGTGTATAGGTTTTAGGCTTTTTGGTTATATACATAAATTTTTACACATAAGCGACAAAAATGAAAAAGCTATAGATCTGGATATCTTCGAATGACGAAGTTGGTCTCGCCTGAAAATAGGTGGACAACTAATACAACTATAGTGAATTTTCATCATCTAACACAAATCTCGAGGCATTACATGAATTTAGAGATGACTTTTTTAGTAAGAAATATTCAAACATCGATAAAAAAACATCCAAAACTCCGATTTTAGCAAACTTATAGTAGAACTGAGTTAAACCACTAATGAAAGATTTTTTGTCATAATTAGATGGTCAAACGAACGTTGAATGTAGCAAGTCTATAGTCGAATTGAGATTCTCGACGAGTCGAATCCAATCGGTCCAAGATTGCTCAATTCTGACATCATTAAAACACTAAAATGTGTATCAAATATCATCTGATCGAAAGAAGCTCTTTTGGTCGTCTGGTTAAAGTGAATTATATTCTTGGATTAATTACACATACATCACTACAAATAGAGTTTCACCCCTCTCACGAGAGATATGAGAGCTTAAGGCTTGAGAAAAAAACTTGAATCTTTGATAAAATACTAGTCCAAAACCACTCATGTTGTCGCGCGGCTAGTGTTAACCGTTGCAAATCACCGCCGACCGCAATCGACCACCATCGATTGTCGTCGAGCAATCCTATCTTTGTCCACCATCAAAGACCACCATGACGACCACTGTCGATCCCCGCCCTCGATCACTGTCGGCTGTCGTCGATCACCGATGGCCGCCGCGAATTAACACCAAATGTCGTCAACTAACAACTGCTAACTTACGCTGATCACTATCGGCCGTTGCCCACTTCATATAATAAGTTCATTTGTGCGCCGACATTGTAACTCCGAAAAGTGTTCAGCCCTTTTTTATCTGTGGGACGAAGAACTATACATGCAATATCTAGTTAAAAGTGGATTTCTTTAGTTGGGTCAGGCCCCGTGGCTTTTTGTCTTTCATGGTTTTCCACGTAAAAACTTTTGGTGTTATCACTAGTTATTTTTCTCTTTTCTGACTATGTGTTGAATCTACGTACCACACTAAGACGATAATCCATTTCTCTACCGTAGTGAATTTTCTAGCATGCATCAACTATAAACACTTCATATTTGAAATATGTTTGATATTTTAATTATATACTTAAAGTTTTTAAAAGTGGTTTAACAGTTTGATCTGAGTTTGATTTGACTTGGATTGATAGTATTGTTGTGCTCGACTCATCGGGCTGATCAATTTTACCGAAAATATATTCAAATTAAAATTTTGAATGAATTTTAATTAGAATTCAAATGTATATGTATATCTTTTAAACTTATTTTGAGTTTAGTTCGATATCACGAGAGTTGGATGATATAAATTTGTGAACGGCTTTTCCAAATCCCATCAGGCCACCCCCCGCAACGAGTTGCTCTGTTTAGGGTTGTAAACGAGCCGAGTAGCTCGTGTTCTGCTCGTTCGAAATAGCTCGTGTTCGAAATCGGCTCGTGTTCGAAATCGACTCATGAACAGTGTGTTCGTGTTCGGCTCGATTTAAATATTCGTGTTCGTGTTCGGCTCGAAATTGGTTCGTTAAACTAAAATTAAGAAAAATAGAAGGATTCGAACCTGTAGGATTCGAACCTAGATCAAATATATACAAAAGAAGACACTTACCACATTACCACATAAGGTTTTATGATTTAAACTTAGATATAAATATATATAATATATTATTATATAGATAATATATGTAATATATTGTTATATAAAAAATTATATAATTTTTTTTTTCGAGCAGAACACAAGCGAACAAATTGTTGTTCGTGTTAGACTCGTTCGTTAGGCTTAACAAACGAGCTGAATACGAGCTGTTTAACGAGCTGAACACGAGTTCTTCACGAACAACGAGCCAAATTGAAAACCCTCTATTTATTTAATTCCAATTCATTGGGAGTTGAATTTCGGGAAAGGCTTTCTTCTTTTCTCAGCCGTCAGATAATATCCGACGAGTATTAAGCCAAAAGAAAATGTCCGTGAAATCCATCAAGTTCTTGTATAAATTGACATCGCCGTGCAACGAAAACCCTAACTCATTAGTTTAAGGGTCTGTTTGGGGCAGCTGCAGTTTATCCAACTTCTGCTGATAAGCAGCTTATCCTGATAATCTGCTGATGACCAGCTGATCCGGATAAGCTGTCTGGCTGTTTGGTTAGTGCGTCTGGAAAACAGCTGATTCTGTAAAATTGACTATTATGCCCTTATTTTGAATAAGTTGTTTGGTTAGTGCGTTTTGTAAACAACTTATTTGTAAATTTTTTTAGTTAAATGAATAATTTGTGTAACAAAATGTTATTTTCTCAAATGTGAATAAATGAAAATGCAAAAAAGTTCAATAATATTTATATAACTCAAAAAAGTTGTGATTACATCAAAAAAGCATAGTGATATATATGAAAGTTCCTTACACATTTATGAAACTCTAATATGGATTATAATAAGACCCCAAAAAAAGAAGAAATAATATGTTAAAATTATAAGGAAAAATATTACAATATTGAGTTTAACATGTAAAAACACATCACTACAAATGTTGCCCGGTTCTGATACCTTAAAACCCCGAGCAAACCTGTCTGATTGGGATATCGGTGTCCTGATGGGGTAAACGTGTCCTGATGGGGTACGGTATACACGGAAGAACTTGAACCATATACGGTGGTCTCCTGTTGTGGTATTATCGTACTCCTAGCAGCTGTGTCCAATTGGGATATCGTAGTAACAGTTGCATTGTTCGTCCACCTGAAGAATTTACAGTCTTCAGGTCCTTGTCCCCACCGCGGGCACCTGTAAAATTGTCTCCCGTAGCTATGTGTCTGACGTGACGTGAATAGCAAGGACGGTAGTCCGCAACGACACATCACTTTCTCGGACTTCCGTGAATGTCTGGAACTCATTGTCCTGCATTTATTAAAAATAGAATCAGTCAGTTCAAAAAATAAGGAAATATAATAAATAAACTTACCCAAGTGTAGACCCAAGGATTGATGACAACAAATTTATGTGGTCGTCCAAACTGCTCCACCGTTATCCACCATATAAGAGGTGAAGCTATTAACCAGCATAAAACAACATATCCACATTAATTATAAAATATGCTCAAAGCTGCTAATATAAACTCTAATATAAGCATCACCTTCATCCTGATCTGTGTAAAGGCCATCATAAAGTCCTACTACAGGTTTCATGGAGAAAAAATCATTCCATAAAAATTCCAACAAATAATTGGTCATGCCATAGTAGTGGTTGCCATCCAAGCTACATACATAGCATGGGGCCATCCAAGCTACGCCATGATTGCTTACATAATTTAGATGCTTCCATATCTAAAAAAAATAACCACATTCATTTCAAGGAAAATGCATTCATTTCAAGGAAAATGCATTGAGATTGCTGATATAGATTGTTGTTCATTGCTGAAAATGCATTGAGTTTTAGTGGCATTTACATACATACCACTTAATTCTTAATGATTTAGGTATGTGAACTAACAAGATATGTGAATGGCTGCGACACAGGTAAACAAAGAAATTTACCAACATCATAATGCAGGTAAACAACCCTCTTCATGCAGGCAAACAAAGAAAATACAACAGGAAACCACCATCAGGAAACCAGTAGCATGAAACCAACATCAGGAAACCAATAACAGGAAACCAACATCAGGCAACCAACATCAGGAAACCAACTGCAGGAACTGCTCCCAATTCCACCATCATAAATAGCACATAATTCTAATGCATTTACATAGCATTTACCAAGTAAGAGTTAAGAGGGTTGGAATGTTGGATCCTCTGGTTTGACTATTTGACGGACTAGACTCACTAGTGCATTCAACCCAGCTGAGAAATACCTACTTATGGTTTCGGAGGAATGTTGAAATCGTTCCATCGCTCCTCTCATCGATTCGTTCTGGGCCAAAATGTAGAGTGTTATAGCAAACACCTCTCTAGATGTTGTTCTTGATGATCCTTGAAGTTCCTGGAGGGTCCGAAGTTCATTTAGGAGGTCAAGAAAAATGGCTTTTTTCATACGAAACATATTTGCAAAACGTATTGGGTGACCATGTAATAACTCTCCGATCCATTTATCTCAAATATTGTTGGACGTCATGCATGGGTTTCGATCAACATATGCGTTGTAGTAATGGTATAACAATGTAAGGGTGAGAGTAACAATGCGGATTTGATTAATTTGCCCTTCATCCATAATACAAAATCTGGAAGGAACGTAGACTTTTAAACCAAATAGCAAATAGTGATGTAATATCAGAAAACATACAAAAAATGACAATAAAATAGAAAGAGTATATGCATATGTAAACATCAAAGTTCGATATGTAGCTAACATATTCAAGGATGAAAGAAATACAATGTGCAGAACGAGTTCATCACATAAGTACAAAAAAAGACAGAAACAGTCTATCAAACAAATAGTCAATGAAGTTACATAAATGACATTCAATCTTTCATAAAAGAGCGCAAGTAAGGAAGACAAAATTCTGGGTCTAAAGTCTCAAAGAACTGCCTCCGGGTAGAGTTCCCTAGCAACTTCACTTACTTAACATACAAATCATGGTCCTCCTTAATGTCAGGATATGTGTTAAGGATCTTAACACACTCATGGATTGTGCTGTCTTTCGCAGTTTTTAAATTATTTTTGGAAATTTCAATCAATGTCTCAATAAAACCTCTAACAAATGCAAAGCCTTTTTTATTTTTTATAGGACGGGGGCGCTTTGTTCCACCAGTGGATTGGATATCCGTGTGGATTTGGCTGGGACCTTCTCCTGAATCACCTATATGCTCGGTCTCTATATCCTCAGCTAGGTTTGCAACACCCTGCTCATTAGGGGTGGAAAAATGAGTTCCTGTTGCTACAACACCAGTAAACATGCTATCCAATTTCTCCTCCAAAGCTGGTTCAATTCCATTAAATTTGAATTTTTTGGCCACGGGCACAACCTGTAATTAAAAAAAACAATCCAATCAAAATTCCAAACATATGTCTGTAAAATTTAATTGAAATAGTGATGTTCTTACCACTAACTTTTCTGCCCACCATTCCTCAGGTGCATCAATTGTCCGTTTTACTGGATCCCATCCCAATCCAGTTGATCCCCTTTTAAGCTCTTTCCAAAGTTTCCAGTCCTTCTTTAATTGATCCCATTTGTTCTTTAGTTTCATCCTATCGTAATCTCTTCCAGTTATTTCTTTGAATTTATTAGTGATATTATGCCAACCTTTTTTATTAAAAAAAGTTGTGGGTCGAATTCCCAATTCGACTTTCCTCACGCATAGATCACAAAAAATATTAGTAGTCTCTTCATCCTGCATAGCTGATGAACCAGAGTCTTTAGATTTACTCATCTTTTACTGTCATATCAACGGATAGTTAGATGACATTATGAATGAAAATGAGACACTGAAGATATGCAATATGAATATGTATAACCAATTTATGCAGATGACATTATGAATGAAAATGAAGGACCATAGACCATACAACATATTTTATTCATCCAACTTTCTAATTCAAAACCAACAACCCAAAGTGGCATCATCATAACTTGTTAAAAAACATACTTGGAAAACCTGCTTCAACAACAGTGTATTGAATCTACCATAATAAGATAGACAATTTTCTTTCGTACAAGTAAAGACAGGGGTCTCATCGAAGCAAAAAAAGCTGAGTTACATAATAGTAACACCTTCATTGAAGTAAACATGCTTATCACCATCTTGGTAATAGAATATTCATTGAACTAGTGCAGAGTATTTGCATAACCATAACGTGAGAGCTCTAAAATAATTCCAAAGGATAAATCAAGATTCTACAAAAGGTGAATTTGGCACCACTGTCTACCCTCTACTTGCATGCTTCTATTGTGACATCAATAGAGATTAATATCAGAGATAGTTAAAATTAGCCTTTAATACATTTACCAACAATCAATCACCAATAATCTATTGCTTGCAAATTGGATTGAAATAATGATAATTGGCAGCTAACATGTAAGAAATAAAAATTAAATTTTCAACACCACTACTATGTGCAAACTTGATAGCTTCCACAACATAACATTAACAGATCTGTCAACCTATTAAAAGAAGACTTCTACTAAAGGAGACCCACCATACGGCTCCTTCATTGGCATAAATTAATATGATCACTTACCTTACCTTTGTTGATAACCTCCTCCTAACAAGTTGATGCAACACCAACCTTGTCCATCACCCACTCCCCGTGAATAACAACCACCGCACACAATACTCACCACAACACTTACACCTCGGATTAAACTAAAATGATTAAAGGTTTACTAGGCTTGAATTGAAATAAAACATTTAAATGACAATGCCTCATTGAAAATATCCTAGGATAATTGATTTTATTCTCAGATTGTGCCATAAGCATGAGTCTAGCTTTACACTAAAGATGATGATGGCATTTATGAGATTATTATAGCCAAGTATGAATCATCCCAAAATGAAACAAATAAATTATATTCTACTTGCTTAAATTTTCCCTGTGATATGCAAATTCATAAAATTAGACGGAGAGGGCAACACAATTTTCAATCCAAACATGATCAACATATCATTTTAAAAAATATATATATATCCTGTGCTAGACATCTCACCCAGGCAATTTAGGCGATGTGATAGTATATGAATTGCTTAAAGTAGCAACGACAATAGCATCAATGGCAAACTACAGACCGACAAATTTTTGGAGCTCTTCCAAAGCATAATCCTGTCATATAGTTCGAGTTGAAAATAAATTACATAACACAAGAATGATTTTTATATTATGAAGATGCTTCAAACATATCGCAGAAACAGTGGGATGAGGAATGAAGATGCTTCAAACATATCACAAAAAGGTTGGGATGAGGAATGAAGAAGAGAACTGTCTTGATGCTTCAAACATATTACAGAAACAGTGGATCTATATTTTTACCAGTGGTACTTGCACATTCAGAATAGATCTAGGTTTTAAAGTCACGTAAACACTTCCAAACAGATGGATCGACTAGAAATTTCTTGCCAAAATCTTAGATCTCTCGGCGAAATAAGGGAAAGAAGGGAGGAGCCGAGCGAGGAAAGCATTATAGCACGTGGGGTATGATAGGGGCTGCCTCTACTAGATTGGTTATCTCGGATTTGGGGGAGAAAATCCTCGTAGGGTAGCGAAAGAAAATATGGAGCCCAATGTAATATAACTTTAAAAAACTGTTTCTAAAAATGCACGTAAAACGCGATTTCTAAACTTTAGGGCGGCATTTTAAAAAACTGGGCGTTTTTAAAAACGCCGCCCCACATTTCAGCTGCCCCAAACGGCCCTAAGCATGAGACAAGTATGAGGCATATGGAGGATGGTCTAATCGCAGGCTCCTCGATGGCAGTTGATTACTTGACCTAATCCTTCCAACGAGCGCTCCTCTAATTGGGCAATGACGATGAAATCCATCACCGAAGGAGAACTTAATCCGCTTCAGGAATGCTTCCGAGGGTGCTTTAGATATCGCAATGCTTCTCTTGCTTTGGCGCCGGAGCAGCTTGGATGGCCCGTTATTCTACGGGAAACCGCTCTCTCTGTGCGTCGCTGGTGTAGAGATAGCGGGTGGATCTGCTTGGTGATGGAGATAAGGTTACTCTGAGCCCTCCGGCTTCCAATTTTCTTACCCATGTTTTCTCTAGGGGATGCTTGTTGCGTGCTTTACGGCAATATTAGGACTCCTGACCGAATATTTTTTTCATTTTTAAGAGGCTGTTTTGCAGAAGGTTTTGAGCAGGATTATTCTCCAACCTTGCCGAACAGTTTTTTCCGTTAAATCATACGGTACGCCTAAATCCTGCTTTTGCGGCCTTTTGACTTGAATCATTGTTTTATCAAGAGGTATTTGAGGAGGATTTAAGTTAAAATAGGATTCAGTAAGTCCGGTAAATCCGGATTTAAATATTAGTAAATCCAAGGGGAAAACGGATTGCAGCGATGATCGAGAGCAAATGTTGCGCATTATTTAAGCAGGAATTAGCTTAAATCCTTCAGAATTAAAAAAAAAAAAATGTTATGTTAAAATCATACAGAATCATAAATCCAATTTTTCCCTCGCTTCACCTTAAAAATCTGGGTTTATAAATCGGGTATATGCCGGATTTCTCTAAAATTTTCAATTCTCACTAACTCTCTTCCTTCACACGCCGCTGAGCCCTTTGTGCCTCTGGATGATCCAGTTTTGTGGAGAAATATTTGCGTACATAAGATGTACGTGGGGAGTTTGAATTTCTAACATTGACATATGCTAGAATGTTTTAGTTGTAAAAAAAGCTGCTCTGCCTTGTCACAAAAAAAAAAAAGAAAAAAAAGTTATCATATACGAGGGAGCTACAAGAGGCCATGGACCTTTATATCTACAGTGGTAGCAAATATCTAACCAAAAGTTACTTCTGCTTGCCCTTCTCTTCCTCTTTTCCACATCTCTGCTCCTCCTCTGTTATTATTCTTTGCGTTGATCGTCAGTCCCATGGCATAATGGTTTGTTGGCCTAAAAAAATTAAGGTGTGTGCATGTAATTCGAATGTTTTGGTTTTATATATGTAAATAAATAAGAAATGTGTGTTATGTTTGTAAATGTCCCTTATATACAAGCCATGACGGTGAAATCCATCATCAAAGGCATTCATTTTGGGTCTTTTAGAGATCTACTCTTCTCCAGCAGTGGGGTTATAGCAGTCTGGACAACCCATGTGCTTGGGTAGCAGCATCTTCTCTGTTGGATATATTCTGTTTTACTAAAATGGAGTTTAGCTATTAGATGTGTAATACATAAGAATTGAGTGGTATGTACGTTAATCTCTCTCTCTCTCTCTCTCTCTCTCTCTCGTGTGCTCGCGCGCACACATACCAAAATCTTTTGATTGTTCAATTAATGTAGGCGAGGGAAAGTTAATTTTCTTAATTTAATTTTATTAAAGTTAATTTCCTCGCCATACTTGATCAATCGATCTTAGTTTTTGAGCCTTCGTTGGATGATTAATGATGCTTTGTGAAACTAACTTTTTCATTGGATACGGCGGGATAGGCTATTGAATAAAGTTCACTTTCTTGCATTTGATGTTTCAGATGCTATTCCGTCTCATTTTCGGTCGAAGGGCTTATACTTGGATCGCTTAGTTGTTGAGAAATTTAGGGCAAATAAAAACAAAAATCAACACAAAATCAGAAGAACATAGAGATTTAATGAGGTTCGGCAAAGATGTCTATGTCCTCGGGAGCAGAATGTCCTCGGGAGCACTCGGGAGCAGAACGATGAATTTTACTATTTCAAAGGAGTTTAGTACATATATATAGGGTTACACATCATATATATAAATACAACTACAGATAAAATTACTATCACGCTCTCACTCCCAACGCATTAAATTCCAAGAGACACTCCTCTTAATTCCAGGAGACACCTCTTGATTCAAAGAGACTTCAAATTCTGGTATATGAGCCATAACTAATAAATCTTCACCTCGAAGAATATTCAGTCCCTTAGGAGAAATACATATACCTAACAAATCTCCACCTTCGCGGATATCCAACCTCTTAGGAGAAATACATGATGAAGTTTCTTATACCGAAGTGGGTTGGGCAACTATGCTGTCTAACAATTGCAAACATTCAACAAGCTCAAGCAATGCAAAAACTTGTTGATATTACTTGGCTTGGTCAACATATTTTCTTGTCCATTTTTTATCTCGGATGGCTTTGGCCTTGTTGAATTGGTTTCTTCGGCTTGGTTTATTCGGCTTGGCGGGCCTCAAGATCTCTTTGCAGTGAATCTGCATCCATCATATTCTTCTTTTTTGGACCGTTAGGACTTGATAAGATCAGTGCATGTTCTTCTTTGATGTATGCGTACTTAACACCTAATTTTTTTTTTTGTTTTTCTACAATCCAAATCTGTTATATCACATATTGATGTCAATAATAATAAGTCTATTAGTTGAAATATGTGTATTTTGAGGCATATAAAGTGTAATTTTTTTTTATTAAATTCTTCTTGTAACGGAACAACATTTACATGTCCAATGGCAATTCATTGCCAAAAGGTCATTTTTTCCCACACTATTTGGAGGGTGGGAATGCATTTTCTGTTGCTTTCCGGATTTTAATGCTTTTTTGATATTTTCCGGATCGTAATGCTTTTTTTGATATATTCTTGCGTTGGCATGAAGCAGCTTGGAAGGTGGATCTTGCGTGCAACTACCGTGTTAGTGTCACAGTGAAGACGCATAAATAGAGCTTAGTGATGGAACATAGTCGAATATGCCATTTATTTTTCCTCTTTTTGATGTTCGTTGGGGCTGCTATCTAATGTGTTTAGCAGTCTCAAAGATGCACCATCCCATAGTGCATTCTGGTGTTCTCAAAAATATAAAGATGTATGGAGTTAGTAAAAAATGTACATTGGATAGTTTGTAGTTTTATGTTTGTAAATGCCTCAAAAAATTGATATGCGTGCAGCATCTCATTTCTGAAAAAACATGCGGTAGGTGTTGGCTTATTTTGGTGAAATCTATCTTTACTATGTCAATCTCAGAGAAAATTCACTGATTGTATCATCTTATCAACAATTCTGTGCAATTCCGAGGTGGGTAGTAAATTACTGGACCTAATTTTCAGCTCTATAAATTATGAGAATCTATGCTTCTCTCTCTCTCTCTCATTGTGGATTAGGCTATGATGAAATCTATCCTCCATGACAATCTTGCCAACCCTGTGGTGGAGCAGAATTTCATTAGATGCTAATTCAGTGTTTTCTGCCACTCATTCAACGACAATAGACTAGCTTGGATGGCCCTTGTGTAACTGCTACTTCTATTTCCTAGGCCTAGCTCGCGTTCGGCTCATTTATATTTCGAGGTAGAAAAGTGTGTTCATGTTCAACTCGTTTGCTTAGCGAGCCGAACACGAGCTCTTCATGAACAAAGAGTCGTTTTTACAACCATAGTCACGCAGCCATAAGATGTTAAGGGTTGTGGTAAGATTTAAAAATTATTGTTTATATTAAAACATCATTTGAATCTAATTTAATAATTTTTATTATCTTTGTATCGTTGTAGTCAAATAAATTTTTTAAGAATACTAATTATATATATATATATATATATATTTATATATATATATATATATATAATTGATGAGTAGTAATTGGAGCCGAACACGAACAAATAAATCTTTGTTTGTGTTCGGCTCGCTAACTTAGTGGACGAGCTAAACACGAGCTTCTTAAAGAGCCAAACATGAGCTGTTTGTGAACGACGAGATGTTTTGATAGCCCTATTATTTCTCTGATAGATAATTGGTGGTTGGATCTTCCTGTTTATTGAATGATTACTATTTTGAGCTCATTTCCTTTCCCCACTTTTCTAAAATCTTGTTTTTATATCTAAAAACACTTTAGTTAGGGTTGCTGTATGATGAGCTTTAATTAATAGGAAAGGATCCAAATCAGTCTGCTACTTGGGTTGAAATAATTTACAGGAAATGAAATTAAAGTTTTATCCTCATGATTTCGAGAAATGCTTCATGAAATGTACTGTTTCCCCCCCTAATGTTGAGCAGGATTTTTTGTCATGGTGCTTTAGAGATCCCTGCTATTTTCATCGAATGTCTATGGAGCAGCTTGGATGGCCTTTTGAATCTTTGGGCAACCGTTGCATTCCATGGTTCCGTGGTATAGAAATGTTGGGTGGTTCTGCTTGCACATTGAACAAAGGTGAATCAAATCCTCCAATTTCTCAGTTACCTTTTCCATCTTTTTCATATCTTTAGGCAACCAAAAGAGGCTTTGGTGCGGTTTGGCCGGAGGATTTGAGTAGCATTTAAGCAGTGATTTGACCAAGTTCCTGCCAGAGAGCCAAAATGACTACATTAATTCTTATGCAATCTTAAATTCACTTTCTCCTTGTTTTGGCCTTGGTCCGTGACTTAATTTTTCCTATCATTTGATCGATTTTACTCAATATATGCTAGTTTCATGAGACCCATTTCTGATCATGTTGATGCGTTCTACTGACTTCCTTTTTTGTTGCTAATTGTATTTTAGAATTTCGGGGAGCGGTATTTGGACGTGAAATATGATTATCTTTTATTTAAATTTATTTTTAATATGATATTGTTGTTGTGTCTCCCAGAAAATTAACTTGATTAGACACAAATCTCAATGTGTTTTTATATCGTGAACTTTTAGAGTCACATTAGGATTATCCGAACTTTGATTTCAGCTGAATTATTGTCCAACTGAATGTCTCGACGAGACAAATTCAATGCCAAGATGATCTAAAGCCCGGATAAAGCATTTGAATCATAACTAAAATTTTTTATATCTACTTGTATAACATATAAATATTTAGCATTATGCAAAAATGTGACAACTTATAACTTTTCTTTAGTGGAATACACCTTTTTCTCGTCTTTGCTATGATGTGATTTTGACTTTGATGTGTTACGTGTAAGTATCAAAGTTTTGGTGTCAGATATGCTAATGTATAAAATTTGTGTGATAAATGTGTAAATTGCCCAATAGTCTAATGATATAGATTTGAACCAAGTTCAAATTTGGGTTCTAAGCAGTTTCAGAGGGCATGTACTTCAGTAAGCAACCCTCGATTATTAGAGATTATCTCTTATTAGTTGTAATTTTATCCAAAGTGGATTTTTTTCAATGTTTCTACAAATGAATATGTTGTGGGAATTTATGGCTAATTGCTTGTATCATGTGGCATACAAAGTTAATTTATTTTTGCTCATTGATTAATTAAATTTTATGGTGCACTCATAAACATTTTTCTTTCCAAATTTCAGTAAGATTTTTGATACGAGTCGGTGTAGAAATCAACAAATTTTTTTGTAGAAATTAGGGCTAAAAGAAATTCTTATTGCAAAAATCGAGACAACTCGCATAAATACAAAAGATAAGCAGCTACAATTCGAGAAGTGGGCGATCTCTCCCAATTCTTGCAATTTGAGTGGTAGGAAATCTCTCAAAAACTCTAGACCCAAGACTTACAATTCAATCTCATGCATCCCCCCAAATCCTAAACATATTAAGTCTATTTATACCCAAAAGTAATAATAATAAAAGACTAAATTGTCCAGGCATACAAAAGACAAACTTGCCCTTAGATTAGGAATAGACGCAAAAATTTTTCCTGAAAATTTTCCCTTAATCTTTTGCTGTATGCTGTGAAATGACCGAATTTTAAAATGGTTCAATTTCTATTGTGCAATCCCAAACTAGTAATGCTACAACTAATGCTTTTTCAACAAAATTATACTTGAAAATTTTCAAATATAAAAAAAAATCTCTACTTGGATTTCAACAATAGTGATGAATTACTCAAATTTTATATCTTTGAATCCATGAATTCAAGTGTGTGATTAGGCGATATGATTAAATTTATCATGGGTCTTTAAGTATTCTTTGCTTTTCTCATGGCGATGGATTAGCTTGGATGGCCTATGCTTATACAAGTAATTGTTACACCCATTTGTCATTGGTAGGGAAGATGTGGAACTAGGGTGAGTTTGAGCGTATGAATGCCCTTTTCCTTTCTACTTCAATATAATTTTAAAGTTAGAATGGCTTGCTCTCATTCTCTTTTACATGAGCAATGATATTATATGGTGCTTCAGAGATATTAATGCTTCATCGCTATTATGTTGTACATGTAGATTACAGGGAGATTACAGGGGGTAGAACGTGGATATAACTCCCCAATACCCTCTGAATAACCTTCTTGACGTACGCAGCGCTGCGTACGCCTTACGTACGCAAATTTTTCTCTTGGAACGGAGCAGCTATGATAGCTATGATAGCTCATGAATCTTGCTCATGAATCTTGGGGCAACTGCTGCATCAACGTCTTGTTGACTAAGAAATGGGTGTATCTTCTTTGGGATAAAACACATGCGAATCATTGCTTTTGACTCTTCTTTTTAGTCTTTTTAATGTTCGCTTTGATTAACTGTGTCAAACAGTTATTATAGCAATTGTTCTTCCATGATATTTTTGTATGATAGCCTTATTTTCTCCCCTATTTTTTGTTTGTTTGTTTTTTTTTTTGTATCAAGAGAAGGAAATGAATTGGGGGCCAATAACAATAATGACATTTTTAATTCTTATAGGCTCTGAAATCCCACTTTTCCTCTGTTTTGCCCAAAATCCAGGATTTAGTATCCCTTTGAAGAGGGCTTTACGTGATTTAGAGAAGTTGAATTGTGTGGGCTGGTGAGAGGAGAGGGGAGAAAGGTGAGGGTTACCCTCATTGGTTTTACGTAGGAGTGAAGCAGAAGGAGAAAGATGGGACTTTAGTAGGCCTTTGTAGGCAGCGATCGCATTGTTGCTTCTCTGACTAGCTCCAATCATGACTGTCAGGAAGCTTTAGGTGTAAAATCACGCTACTAGTCTCTTGAATTTTAGTTTTTACATTTATATCACCCAATAATGTTTAGATTTTAGATATGTAAAGAAATAAAAATTGAGTGTTATGTATTGAAAAATCTCTCTCTCTCTCTCTCTAAACACATTTTTTTTTGTAAATGAGCCCAACACGAGTAATATTTTGCTCTCTATATAAACGAGTAGAACACAAACAAAGATTTGTTCGTTTGAGTTCTGCTAATTTTGATTAGTGTTGTTTTTAAAAAAATTAATTGGCTACAAGGCTACAAAGATTTATAATCAATTAAATTATTAATTAAAAAATAGATAAAAAGATTTAAATCTCACTCTTACCGTTAACATCTTATGGCTGCATGACTGGGGATGTCAAAACGGCTCGTTGTTCGTGAATAGCTCGCTAAGAAAATGATCCAAACACAATTAAATATTTTGTGCTTGATATGTTTAAGAGCCGTACATGAGCATTGATAATTTTTGACGATCCTAGCACGGTAGATGATAAAATCAACATGAATGTATCTGGTTGGATGACCTTATGCTTTAGGAGGTAATCGCTGCATCCAATATCATTTTAGAGAAGATGTGGATGATGTGCTTTTCACTGCTTTTTGATGGAATTAAGGAAATTCTGAACCGCAGCTTCCCCGTATTTTTGAACCTTTTTTTTTCTTTAGCTTGTTGGGTCTGTGGTGCTACATAAATATGCACTCTTTTGATGCAATAGCACGGGAGTAGCTTGGATCGTCCATGCCTGTAAGTGGCATCTATGAAGGTAACTTTTGCTTCGATGATTTTTTTGAATGGCTATCCTATTTTCTTCTCTAATTTTCTAATGTGCTTTTTTCAAATTCAAGAAAAAGAAGTGAAATGAAATTATAGAGGATTTGCATGCATGACATTTAACGGTTATATATTTATTTAATATTTATGTTGGCCAGAAACATTAAAGTGGCTTCAATTTTCCAATTGTCTTTTATGTAGCATATAAGGTATAATTTATCTCTCTCTCTTTTTCTCTTTATATTTATCGAGAGATAGATTGGTAGGCCAGGACACAGATGTTATGTATTAATACTTTAGAGGTGCTTTGCTCCAAATCAGAGGAGCTTTGCTCCAAAAGAATATAAGAGAGTTTGGTATTTTGTGGTTACTTTTTCAATGGCTCTCTAGAAATTTCCCCATCTCTGTTTGGCTATAATATTTTTTGCTGCTTTTTAAAAAATTACAGTGGTGGAATTGAGCTTAAATCTCCCCTCTCTCTCTCTCTCTCTTTTTATATAGATACATATCTATATATATATATATATATATACACACACACATATATGTAGATACATCTTCTTGCTTCTCTTTTCGTGGGGGGCGGGGGAGATATTTCAGACCTCACCTACCCTCGAAACTATTGTTGATGTAACGTGTGGCAATATTTCTACTGAGTTTCTGCCACCTCATAAGGACGAGCAAGTTGTGACTGTTATCAAACATGTGGGGCTCATGGCGTGCAACAACCTACGCCTTTCCAAACACTTTTGGACCAATCCACTAATCAGATGAGGAATGATACATCCAGGAAGAAGAAGAAGAATGAAGACCTTTTATCAAACTTGATGGATGATACATTAGTTGTTTCGGGTAATGACAGTAAACTTAACAATTTGTTAGCTGGCTCCTGTCATAGAACCAGAGGCATGGGCAAGGCTAAATTGGATCTTTCGCATGCTAACTGATTCTGTAAGTGTTGGCTGACTATTGACGTACTTTTTTCTCTGTTTACTTTTTAATCCTTTTTTTTGGGTATACATGTATTTATAAGTGTGTTGTATGATGGGTGGCTCGGGTGTGAATTTGGGCCCTGTTGTCCAAACTATTTGTACTTTTCCACACAATTCTTATATATTTACATGTATAGCAACTAAACATTCATATTTACATTCACATCAGTCAAATTTTTAATCACTTAAAAAATAACACCAGTCTTATGAAACCAAAGTGTTCCAACTATAAATATCAAACTTTGGGAGTTGGGTATCTAAATATATATGAAATGTGTGGTATGCATGTAAATTTCCCTATATATAAATGAAAATTTGAATGCATCACCCTTAATTCTCATATATTTACCTGACTATTGCTTAAATTTTAATATTCAAGCTGGCGTCAAAGATTAAGGATGGCTTCAATTTTTCCAATTTTGCCTTTTTTTGAAGCATCAAAGTCAAATTTATCTTTCCCTCTTATTATATATATATATATATATATGTATATATATATATATATATATATGTATATATGTATAGTATATATGTATATAT